AGGGATAGGCTGGATCAGGAAATCAGGAGGTCAATCTGAGATTGGACTCTAGGAATAAACCAAGTTAGGAAACCAGGATATCAGGCAGAGAGGAAACCAGGTTGAGAAGACAGTATAATTATTACTATGAAAGTACCAAACAACCCATTTACTTAAACTTTTCATGTTACCATTTACCACTTCTAACCTTTTTACTTCCTTATTGCACATCTCCCCATTACCCTTCCCCTTCCTCATCCCTATTCTCTGCTGTAGCTTCTTAAATCCTTCCCTCCTGTCTTGCTTGCCTCCCCAACTCTCTTCTTTACCATGAGCCACCACTTTTGCTTCATTTTAACACATCTTTTTAGGGTTCTCCAGTCCTCACACAAGATTATAAATCTCTGGAAGATCTCACACCTTCTAAAAGTCATACATACAACTTCCATACTTCTTCCTCTATTGTGGAGAATCTGTCTGTTTGTAAAATTGCTTTCAGCATAAAATGGCTGGTAAGAAAGAGATTTTTATGAGCCTTTTTTAATCGCACCCAATTTCGGGGGATGGGGGAATGGAATCAATCCTTAACTGATACTTTGCTCTGAAATCCAGTTTCATAAAATGGATCTCCCTTTTCAATACATCAAAGTGATCATCTTTTAAAATACTCTTCAGAAGTCTGGAGGTGCTGTCTAAGGCCCCAGTCCTAGCGTTTCCTACCTGATCTCCTTCCTTTAAAATAAAATTAAAATCCTCCATAACTCTCCAGGGCCATCCCCACGCCACACCTATCAGCAGCTTCTTTAAAAGGTTTCCTTTCACTTCAGAGCCATACACATTAAAAACTTCAAATCTCTGTTTCTTTTACTTCTACTATCTTGTGTTGCAATCATCTGCATATACTTTCTTTCACCTTTACCAACTTAATTGATGTTGGTTCTTTATTAGTATTGCCACCCCTGCAGATCTCTTTTTGTTAGAAACTGACCTACATGATAGCCCTCATCACCTTCCTTCAGTATGCTTTATCTACTTGCACTTGTGCTAAAAAGGACCTATCCTATTGACCTTCCCTATCCTATTGACACTTCCCTAAAATACTCCAGATGTTTCAGGATACCACCACCGACACCATTAAAATTTCTGTAAGAAAAAAATGTTCTCTGTTTATGAATCATCCTCACTTATCTTTGGAAACTCTTTTTTACACCCTACTCTCATTCCTCTTGCCTCAGCTGAATTCTGAATCTCTCAGGTGTCAAGAAAACCTTTGATCCCTTTATTTCCTTGGTGGTCTAGCACCTCTGTGGCCCACTTGGGCCTAAACACCAAGGAAGATAATGGAAATAAGCTGGGCTTCTCTTCCAAATCTTGCTCACATGCATTAGCTTCCTTTGTCATCTTCTTTTTATATTTCTTTCTTTTGCCAAAATATATCTGCATTTCTACTGTATCTTTCTTCTTCTCTTCATCATTCACTGCTTCTTGCCCCTCCTCCCCCCCCTTAACCTCCTCCTCCTGCTCTGGGTCCTTCCTTCCTCTGCTTTCTCCTCCTCCATCACCATATCCCCCTATGTCACATCCACCACAAATACATCCATCACCTCTTCCATATCAGTTCCCTGTAAGGTCTCCTGTACCACCTAATTTTCTTCTCTGCCTCCTCCCCTCTCCTGGTCTCTCTTTACACACAGTTTCCTCTAGTGTTTTTCTGTACTCCCCATGCACCCCAGGGTCTGGACTCTATTTGAAAAGGCCTTGGGTATGTTCTAAAGATATGGCACTTATCCTCACATAATTTATACCTATGGGCCTTTTTGCATTTGTTAGCAATGTGCCCTCCTTCCCCACACTTAAAACAAAATATCTCTACCTAATTATCTGCCTGGTGCCCCTCTAGCTTGCACTTGCTGCACATCATGGGTTGTCCAAAATAGATAATAAACCTCAGAGTGGCCCTAATGTAATCATCATGGGGAGGTGCTTCACCCTGCCTGGACTTCCTGAATCTTTATTTAAAAATCACTCTACATCACCATGACCCAGTGCATACCCCATACTTGTCCCATATTTTATCTACCTGTATCACCTTTATGGTGCGACCTTCCAAACATAACTTAATATATTTTGTCATTATTAAATCCAAGAACATTTTCAATATAATTATTCTTTCTTGTGCTGCTTTTCCTGAGAAGAACTTGTGGCATTTGAGCTCTGGATTGTTGCTTCTCATGAGTTTTCCAGAATTGGCCATACCCTTCAGTGGTGTACAATGTGAACTCCCACATTCCATTTATAAAAACAAAAGGCTATTTAAGCCTTCCAGATGTACTTTCAGAACCTTGAGTAAAACATCTTCCATAAAACAATACCTACTCACTTCACTTTTGTTAGCATCAGTCTCTTCATCAGCCCAAACTATCTTTAAAAACAACTGTTTTCTTTCCATCACCTTTTGCACCATTCATGCCATCTAAGGGTGCATCTACATATAAATTAGCACACTTTAGTTAATGCACATTAAATCTAGTACCTCCATTGTGCTGTTCCACTGTTCACTGCTTTCTGCTCTCCAGTCTCTGTTTCATGTTCTCCATCTTCCTTCTCTGTCTTCTGCTGCCACTGCCTCACATTCATCGTCCAAGCCCATTCCATTGAACCTCTGTAGTTCATTCTCTTTTGCCAGGGTCAGATGCCATCATTTGAAGTAGAATAAACCTAAGCTACCTCCTCTGCAGCCACCCCTTCTGGGAATCCCCTCTCACCAAGATCCAGCTTTTGTTTGATCTTAAATAACAGGCTGAGAAGTGATCCAGGGGAAATTACCACAGCAGACATTCAGAAAGAATTGTTGGCTGATCTCAAGTATGCCATCACAGGTGGAAATCAAAAGGCAGCCCCAGCAGCCAATCAGGAAGTCCTAGAATTTGCCAGATAGCTTCTTAAGTAGGGCTACCAATCAAAGTCCCTAGGCAGGTGTGGTCAATTAAGCAATTAGCCCAGGCCAAGCTGTCTGTTAGGGACCCTGGCAGAATGAGTTAACCTGTATCTAGCATATATTTCTACTGCTTTTTTCTGAGAAAAAATCTAAGTATGTGAAAATTAAAGAGAGTGTGCTGTGAAATGGCAAGTTAAATTGGAATGTGTTATTAATCAAATGGAAGATTAATACTGTATTTGCATATGTGGACTTTTGGCTAAGTCAGGTGTTGTACATAGTTTCTTTGATCTCAAGGACCTAAGTGATACTAAAGATCTGGTCTCATATACCACAACTTAAAATTAACCCCATATGGTTACATACTTTGATAGTTTCATAGTTCCTATTTTGAGTCTTATTACTATAACAATGAACTAATTATCAAATGTTTGGAGGTTCTGGATTTGTTCTGAAACTGTGTGTGTGTGTGTGTGTGTGTGTGTAAAGCAACCAGTCTCATTGAAGCCAATGGATTTATACGCTTACAGTTATTTAAAAGTCTAGGGGACTCAGTGCTGTACCCCAGAAAACACTGGGAGTCTTTTCCTTGATTCCAGTATTAAGGTGATCACAGTCTTCATAATATCTAGGTTTAAAGCCAAATTTAAGATCAACTTATCAACATATTTTCTAGGAATCCAGTTCCCTTTGTCAACTCCATCTTTTTTCATTGATCTTTTATCTAATTTACTTGATGATCTTTTTAAGACACATGTCATTATGGTTCCTAAATATTTAAGTCCTTTACAAACCACTTGGGGAAACTATTTCCTCCCTCCAAGGGTAATGTCATAGAGCCATTGGCTAGGGTTCAGGCTTTTAAATGACCACCAACTTATTGGTACTGTGCTCTACATGGTATTTTAATTTTTTAATTAATGTTTAAACCTATTAACTTTTTGGTATTTGTATGTTTAGGAAGAAAAGATGGTTTACTGTATATTTTGGAAATATAATGTATCTATGCAAGATACTTTTAAGGCAGGGCTGTCTGACTTCTGAGTACCTAAGGGCTTTATGCTGGGTACCTTCTTCCCCATACTGAATGGCATGGGTGTCATGCAAGCTCCTTAGATCCCTCTGAGTACCCCTTGGCTGTGGGCTCCCTTGCCCCAAGAAATAGAAGCTGGAGTGAGGGAAGGGAATCCTAGAGAATCCAGTGACAACAGCAGAACCATGCTGTGGGGAGCCACACCTGGACTGAATGGTAACCTCTAGGGGCTGCAAGCAGCCCATGGATCACCAATTAGACAGCCCTATTTTAAGAGTAAAGACTGAATATTACTTAGAAGGTTCTTCCTAGAGGATGTTCCCACTAGCAGTAGTTTCACATTTTGGGAGCTTAGCATCTTTTCAGTTCTTTGCTTATTGTGACCAAAACTGCATCATAGACCTAGTTAGAAAACAAGGAGCAATGGTTTCAAGTTGCAGCAAGGAAAGTTTAGGTTAGACAGTAGGAAAAACTTTCTCACTAGGAGGGTAGTAAAACCCTCCTGCACCCCTAGTGAAGCAGGTTACTCAGAGAGGTTGTGGACTCTCCATCCTGCTAGACAAAGCCTTGGCTGGGATTTTCTAACTGGGGATGGTCCTGCTGTGAGCAAGGGGTTGGACCAAATTATATCCTGAGGTCCCTTCCAACCTTAATTTTCTATGATTCTAGGTTTCCCTAAGTACCCTTTTATTACAAAAAATATCGAAAGATTTGTCATGTCTGAGAGCCCTAATCAACTGTAGCTTAACCCTGCCCCGCAAAATGGATTTCTTTGGATTTTCCATTGTTTGACCTTGCTAAGGCTTTTTAACACATACAGCCACATCACCCATGGTCTGATTTGTTGATGCGCAGGAAACTTAATTATTCCCAGTTCCCAGTTGCTTTTAATGCAAGTTTCAATAATTATTAGTGTTAAAGTTGCATCCAAACCCCATATATGAATTTCTTACTGGCTTATTTGGTAAAACCTTATTGAAATCTTGCATTCTTATGTAAGCACATATTCAGGAAGCAAGAATGCATGTGTACTTTAATCTCCCTTTTCAGGTTGCTTGGAACTGAAGGAGGATACCATCGAAAACCTTCTGGCAGCTGCCTGCCTCCTGCAACTTCCACAAGTAGTAGAAGTTTGCTGCCACTTTCTAATGAAGCTATTACACCCCTCCAACTGTTTGGGAATACGAGCATTTGCAGACGCACAGGGATGCACAGAGCTCATGAAGGTGGCTCACAACTACACCATGGTAAGGCAGTTTCAGCACACTGTTATGGTTCAGGAAATGTACAGGAGGCCAGGGTTTTTTGTGGTATTTTGCACTGGACCAGTTGCATAGTTTGGAGAGATATTGGACAAGCTTTAAGTTACAAAGTATCTTTTTCAGGTCTGAGAAAGTAGCAGATACAGGCTAAACTAGATGACAGGAAAAAAATAAGTCTGTGTCAATGACAGCAATAATTTAAGAAACAGAGAATTTTAGTGAAGTGGGAGCAAAGAGAAGTAATCAAAAATAGTTCTAAAATAAGGTTAATGCAATGGAATGGTAACCTAATTATGCAGAAGAGATAGGTGACATCTGGCTCTGCCTTCTCTACGTAGAAGAACAAAACCATACAAAAAGTATGCATTCTTAGGTGTGTCTACATGTTGCCGTACAGTGACATTGCTATTGCACTGTGCTTTAGTATTTCCAAAAGGAAGTACTAAAGCACGGCACAGTACAGGTGGTTACTGCACCATATGCACAGCACATGGTTACATTTTGCCACTGTCACCGTAGTGGCACTCTATACCCGGGAAGCGCACCACTATGGTGATGTAGTTGGTGATCACACATAGACACACATGATCACTACTTACTGTAGCATGCCATAGAGTGACATAGCACGTCACTATGTTGCCACAGGGTGACACATAGATGCCCCCATTACCTATGGATTTCAAAGAGGGTGGCAGAGATTATAACAAACATAAAGCCATAGTCTATTGTTTTTAGTGTCCTATAAAGTTATTAAATTTTGTTACCCAGTCCATCTTTTGAAGGTGTTATGTATGTTTCCGTTGTGCACAGAAAAAAAAGTCATTAAGAAATTAGGTAACTGTGGCGTCGATACCTACAGTCAGATGGGTCACAAATTTGCTGGAGGGCCATACCCAGAGAGTGGTGGTGGATGGGTCTTTTTTGATCTGGAGGGATGTGGGCAGTGGGGTCCCCCAGGGCTGGGTCCTTGGGCCTGCACTGTTCAACATCTTCATCAGTAACTTAGACGAGGGGTGGAAAGCACCTTGTTCTAATTTGTGGATGACACTAAGATGTGGGGAGAAGTGGGCATGCTAGAGGAGAGGGACAGGCTGCAATTGGATCTGGACACGTTACAGGGGTGGGCAGATGAGAACAGGATGGGTTTCAATATGGAAAAGTACAAGGTACTGCACCTGGGGAGGAAGAACTAGCAGCATACCTACAGGCTGGGGAACTCCCTTCTCGTCAGCACAGAGGCAAAAAAGGATCTTTGAATCATTATTGATTCCAACATGAATATGGGCTGCCAATGTGGGGACACAGTAAGGAAGGCTAACCGCACCTTGTCATGCATCCACAGATGCATCACAAGCAGGTCCAAGGAGGTGATCCTCCCCCTCTATGCGACACTGGTCAGGCCACAGTTGGAGTACTGCATCCAGTTCTGGGTGCCGCACTTCAGGAGGGATGGACAACACGGAGAGGGTCCAGAGGAGGGCGACTTGCATGATCGAGGGGAGCAAGGGAGGCCCTACGAGTGGAGGCTATGGGACCTGAACCTGTTCAGCCTTCACAAGAGGAGGCTGAGGGGGGGATCTGGTGGCCATCTACAAACTGGCCAAGGGAGACCAGCAGGCTATGGGAGAGTCCCTGTTCCCCTGAGCCTTACCCAGAGTAACAAGGACTAACGGCCATAAGTTGACTGAGAGTAGATTCAGGCTAGATATTAGGAGGCACTACTTCACAGGGCAGCTAGGATCTGGAACCAACTTCCAAGGGAAATGGTGCTCGCTTCTACCCTGGGGGTCTTCAAAAGGAGGCAGGATAATCACCTAGCCGAGGTCATTTAACCCAGCATTCTTTCCTGCCCATGGCAGGGGGGCGAACTTGATGATCTATTTAAGTCCCTTCCTACCCTACCAACTATGAAACTATGAAAGTCAGAAAGAAAGTAGTTGTTCTGTGAAAAAATGTTCTTTTACCAGCAATTGTTTGCCTCTGTCCTGTATATTTTTACTGTGAAAGTAATTTTTAATCTGTTTTACCCACATATCTTCTATGAGATGAAGTATGCCTCATTCTGTAACATTCTGACCAAACATTGTATAGGGTCCATGTTTAGTCAGCATATGATCTGTGAATGAAGGTAGCCTATCATCTGATGAGGCAATTGTTCATTTAGGTTCAAGTGAAGTCAGAATCCAGCCTGAGTCTATTACACCATTGGGTCTTAGTGTGGTTAAGGCACCACCATTTCTTTAGCTGGTGGCATATAATTCTATTTGCAGCTATTTTGGGTTTAGAGAAGCTTTATAGTTGGCTATATTATTCAATATATTTCTTTGATGAGTTTTACTTTTGCTTTTTTTCTTCATCTTGCTTTTGTGGATCAATGAATATACATAAAAAATGGATTTGTAGATCTTGTACGTACACATGCAGATCTTATGTACAGTAATTTATATGTCACCTGTTACAAGCCTCAAATGTTATACTACATTAATATTAGAAATGAGTCAGAATCAATGAGGCAAAAAATGTAACCTACTAAAATCCAAAAACATATCTGTAGCAATTTAATCCTGTATGGTTTGATAAAATTAAGAACGCAATCAAGATAATTTATTTTACAGAAATAATGAGCTCTTCTGGTCTAGACTGAATTTATTAGAAAAGTTATAGGAAATTATTCAGTGCAGCTCTATGGCTAATCCAGACAGATCTTCACTAAAAAAATGAAAAATATACCATACACAAAAGTGTTCCTTTATTGCATAAGTCTTTTTTGTATAATCAAATATCTGCCAATCTTTGTTTTTCAGCTGCTATTGATGGGCATGTCCAGACAAGCCTGCACATGCCTCTTGCCGCATCTCAAAGCCATTTGAGACATGACAAGAGGCACGTTGGGAACAAAAAAACATTTCCCTCACTGCATATTTGCAGCGTTGGCTCAAAACGTAATACCTGAATATCCAGGTATCAAAAAAAGTCCCGCGGAAAAAAAGCGGGACAGGGCAACCAGAGACTCAGGTCCTCCAAAGAGATGCTCCAGTAGCCAGCCAGAGCATCTCTATGGCTGCTCCTTGCAGGGCAAGGAGCGGTGTCAGCTGCAAGGAACTAGACCAGGGCTCCATCCCCAGGTAAGTAGAAACTGTGGGTGGGGAGAACTGGACCCAGGGCTGTATGGGTGTGGGAGACTGGGGGAAAAGGGGATTGTGGTGGGGAGAGGCTGCTTGGGACAGGCGGGTACTTTGCCTGCCCCCCACATGACCCATAGCCCCCTCTCTGCATCAGCACGGGCCATCAGGGCTTGGGGCCCTCCTGGAACAGGCCCCCCACATGGTGAGGGGTAGCGCAGAGCAGCGCGGCTCAGCCCTGGCTTCCAGACACCCAGCACTGCCTGTGCCACATTGTGTGGGCCCAGCTTGTCTGGGTGTGGCACCATGCACCTTTGGGCAGCTCCAGGCTTCTTGGACTGTCACCTGGGGACTTGCGTCACTTGTGGAGACTGCATGTTGCACCAGGTTGGATCCTGCCTGCACGGGCCCTGCACGCTGTTAGGCTCATAGATTCATAGATTCATAGATGTTAGGGTCAGAAGGGACCTCAATAGATCATCGAGTCCGACCCCCTGCACAATCAGGAAAAAATGCTAGGTCTAGATGACCCCAGCTAGATACTCATCTACCCTCCTCTTGAAGACCCCCAGGGTAGGGGAGAGCCCCCCCTCCCTTGGGAGCCCGTTCCAGACCCTGGCCACTCTAACTGTGAAGAAGTTCTTCCTAATGTCCAATCTAAATCTGCTCTCTGCTAGCTTGTCGCCATTATTTCTTGTAACCCCCGGGGGCGCCTTGATGAATAAATACTCACCTATTCCCTTCTGTGCCCCCATGATGAACTTATAGGCAGCCACAAGGTCACCTCTCAACCTTCTCTTGCGGAGGCTGAAAAGGTCCAGTTTCTCTAGTCTCTCCTCATAAGGCTTGGTCTGTAGGCCCTTAACCATACGAGTGGCCCTTCTCTGAACCCTCTCCAGGTTATCTGCATCCCTCTTGAAGTGCGGCGCCCAGAATTGCACGCAGTACTCCAACTGTGGTCTGACCAGCGCCCAATAGAGGGGAAGTATCACCTCCTTGGACCTATTCGTCATGCATCTGTTGCTGCACGATAAAGTGCCATTGGCTTTTTTGATGGCTTCGTCACACTGCCGACTCATGTTCATCTTGGAGTCCACTAGGACTCCAAGATCCCTTTCCACTTCCGTGCCACCCAGCAGGTCATTCCCTAGGCTGTAGGTATGCTGGACATTTTTCCTCCCTAGGTGCAGCACTTTGCATTTCTCCTTGTTGAACTGCATTCTGTTGTTTTCTGCCCACTTGCTCAGCCAGTTCCATGCAGGCAGGACCTGACTTGGTGTGACACACAGTTCCCATGAGTGGCACAGGGCCCCGAGTGACAGCCTTAGTGGTCTGGAGCTACCCAAAGGTGCATGGCGCCATGCTGCTGACTGGGCTGGGCTGGCATGATGGTGCCAGGTGGCCGGGGCTGAGCCTGCGGCCCTGTGCCACACAGTGGGGCTGTGCTTGGAGGTCCTGAGCACCCCAACGGCCGCTGCTGCTGTGTGTAAACTCTGGGACTTTCTGGGGAGGGGTGGGGATAAGGTTACAAAAGTTGCAAAATAAGGTTATAGAAACTTGAAGCCTTAGAATCTAGGTGAAGGACTTATTTCTTATGTACTTCATAATGCAGTCTTGCTAATTAACATTTGAATATATGAAAATGAAATCCATTTCACTTTCAAATGCCTTTGTCCTTATTATACTGCATATTTTTAAGGTGCTTGTCATTGCAGAATTGATTAAATATCTTCCAGCTTTCTGGTTTATCTTGCTATTTACTTTGTACCCATCCTTCAGATATACAAGTATATTATGTTCAATTTTTACAGGCAAAAATTTAATCATGTACAAAGGGGAAAAAATATCCAACAAAGGACTGGA